CCGACCTCAAACGTTGTGGGCGGGACTAAGTTCGGAATGGCACCCAGGCTAAGGGTGGAGGACAACGCCTTATTTAATTTTCACCGACTTTGCAGCACATTGATTCTCAGCCTTTAGGTGTTCCCTTTTATTTTATTCATTTAAAAGGCATCATATATAATCGATAACTTTGTGATTTAAAAATGGAACCCATTGCTTGTTTCATCCTGGAAAAAGAGCTGTTCAAATGCATTTTTTTATCAATATCCCGCTAAGATCATTGATGAGTCTGTGCAAACTTCTGATTCATGCTGGATCGTATTCTCTATCCCGCAGAGCCAGCTAGAGATCACCAACCATAAAGGCAGAGAGAAGCTGCTTCAAAGATATTAAAATGGTAAGCTAGGGAGAATAATATGTTCTTTATGTATTTAATTCAGTATTGCCTGAGTTAATGGTTTTTGAATCATTCCAGATTCGGATCGCCGCTCTAAATGCTGCTTCGGCAGCCGCCGATGAGTCCCAGGACCCGCTGAGGAGCAGCAAAAGTCAGACGAAGGAGGCTCAGGTACAGGCTGGATGATGCTGGGCAGCTTTTCCAGGCATTTCTTTAGATGGAAGCGAGTTCACGCCTTTTAACTTTCATTCTGCCTCCGCAGGAAGCCGAGGCTTTTGCTTTGTATCATAAAGCTTTGGATCTGCAGAAACACGACAAGTTCGAGGAGTCTGCCAAGGCCTACCATGAGCTGCTTAAAACGCCGCTGCTCAAAGAGGTAAATCAGTCACTCGATTGCTAAAGATCTGATGCTGTGGTTCAGAATCACAGCTCAGACTACGCTATCACAGGAAAAAATGGAAATCTAGATAAGTCATTCTTTTCTTAAAATAAGTGCATTTTTTCTTGGATTGAGGAGGTGAAAGAGAATTTTTGCCAATGGAACATGACAATTTAGATTTAAAATAAGAAGACACAACTTCATTGTCTTATTTCAAGTGCATCTTATCCTATTATCTTATTTTAAGAGCAAAAATACTCACTCCATTGGCAAAATACCTCATTTACCAACTAAAATTAAGGGTAAATACACTTAATTTAAGACATTTTTACTTATTTCTAGATATTTTTTCAAGTGTAGATCTGCTGTTTATGTTGTGTTCAGTACTAGCTGGACATCTTCTCTCATAAAGCTTCTTTTAAGGGTTTAGATTTTAAAAGCTAGAATAGAATTGAAAATCCCTTTATTGTCCCACAAAGGGGAAATTCTGATGTTTACAGCAGCAAAAAAGATTATAGAAAACTAATTTAGTTCTATTAAAATAAATGGTTATATTTATTGTTAGAGTTTGAGTTATTCTTGGGCTCTGAGGCTGAAATGTGACCCAAATAATGTTACATAAACTCTAAAACAGGCCGTTTGCTGAGAGAATAACATGATTAAGACTCAAAATTTTCATTTTTTATATATAATTTCGTATTTATAAATGTTAATTTACTGAAAGCATTTCTTTAAGGATTAATCTTATGAATAATTGATAAGTTATTCAATTGCTAATTTATAACTATATATCAATAACATGGCTTCTTAAAACAGTGCATTTTATTTGGGAAATGATGCATAATTTTCTTTCCACTTCCCTATTGTGCCGTCTTTCCCACCAAATGGCGTGGTATTAAATGGCGGAGGTTCCTGGTTGTGTGTTCGGTTGTAACCCGGGGCGTGAGGAGTTTCCGGTCTGTCGTTGTGAGGCGGGGCTGCTGCCTCACTGCGCTTCATCTCTGCTGTTTGATATTTTAGGCCATGCCCTCAGAGGATCAGAGAGTGGGTCTGAAGCATCCTGGACTGATGCTAAAATACTCCACCTTTAAAAACCTGGCTAGCATGGCGGCGTCGCGCGACGACTTGGAGAAAGCGATGGAGTTTTATTTGGAGGTAAAAAATATTCCTGGTTTTGTGTCTTCTGGAGATGAACCTGCTTTGCTGGAATTTTTACTGGTATAAACTGTATGCGTTTTAATTTTTGCCTTCAGGCCGTCATGTTGGACTCCACCGATGTGAACATGTGGTATAAAATCGGGCAGGTGGCCGTGCGGCTGGTGCGCATCCCTCTTGCTCGTCACGCGTTTGAGGAAGGCCTGAACTGCAACCCGGATCACTGGCCGTGCCTGGACAACCTCATCACCATCCTGTACACCCTCAGCGATTACACCTGTACGTAACGCTTAGCATCAGGAGCTCGGCTCCGTTTGAGTCACACAGGATTGATACCAAGTCGGGCTGATTCTGGGTTTAAGTTCAGTCAAACCCTTTAACCTGCTTTAGAACTGGGTGAGATTTAATTGCAGTAAAATAGAAATTAATGTTTAGTATTTGAAAATGTTTCCTAGTATAGTGATATATTTTCTCCCTGTTGGAGTTTCTGCAGGTCAGCCTCCATGTGCTGCTTTAGAACTTAGAAAAACTGCTGTAAACTAAAACCAACATAGTTTAATCACTTATGTCCAAAGATTTCTACTTATCTTAAGGACTGGTTATTGTCCTGCAGCAGTATGTTGCAGTTTTTAATTGATGCCCAATATAGAAGCATACTGAGCTATGTTATTCCACACCACAACTCAAGAGGGACAATCAGAAACTAGCTGTGGGTATAGATACGAGCGAGGCGGTGTGGAAGTGGGGCAAGTTTGTGCGACAATGGAGGGACATGAGGGCAGAAAATAGCGGAGATCCAGGTGGAAAAAGGGTCCCAGAGTTCTTGCGCACCTCGCTCTTCTAGCTGGTCCAACTTGATGAGTCGTTTTCCTCAATGGCGGTCATACAAACAAAACAAGCCGGTAAGGAACCAAACAGGAAATACGCATAGAGTAGAGCGGATGTAGATTTGACCAATCAGAGGCCTCCTGTCTGCAGCACTGTCTGTGGTCACCTGAAATTGGAGAGGTGCAGCAGAGTGTCTGAAGAAGGGGTGGAGGCTCATTTGCATTCACGGCGACAAACATGCAGACAACCTGGTTACTGAGTATAAATCTGCCTTTAGAGATAAACTGATGCATCATCCAGCTGGTAGCTCTAATGATATTAGCGTTTCTTTCTTGTTTTGGCTTCAGCTGATGCCTTCATGCATGCTGAGGTAGTCAGCAGCCATTAGATCAGGATATATATTGAGCCTCCCTCCTTTAAAGGAATAGTACACCCAAAACATGATTAGCCTTCATTTTCTACTCA